CGAGCATAAAGTAGCAGAACTCTGGATAGGTAGCAGATGACCTGAGGACAGAGAGAAACAAGGCTGAGTGAGCAATGGGGGAAGGGGGGAAGGGAAATTCTGTCTAGCTGAAGAGACACCAACCAGCACTTGGCCATTATAAGAAAGATACCTTTATTTTTTTTTTTTTTGAGACAGTCTCACTATGTAGCCCACACTGCTCTTGAACCCACAGTTCTCCTGCCTCAGTCTCCCCAGTGCTAGGATTATAGCTATGCACCATCACACCCAGCAAGGTCCCTTCTAACTGCAAGGAACAAGATGGCAGAGTCCCCCAGGACAACTTGCTGATGTTTCTAAGCAAGGACACCTGACTTCAACCACCATGGATATTGTCATCTTGCCCATCCACTGCGCACGCCAGGTACTACTGACAAAAGGGACAGGCAACATCATGCAGCCAGCAGACCGTCTGTCAATCAACAGTGAGACCATGCTCACTTCCCAGTCACCATCCCAGGCCAAGGATTGTGAATAAGAAAGTGAGACATCTGCCTTACCAAACAGCAAAACACATGGTCACCAAAACTATGGCACATTGACTCAGGAGACTGTCACAACACCATCTGGGAACCAATTCAGGACACAGAAGAGAATGACAACGGAGGTCGAAGGCAGAAGAGGACATGCAACTCAACCTTTGACCAAAAGAAAACAGCCTGCAGGCCAGGTACAGTGGCTCAAGCCACAATCCTAGATATTTGCCCAGGCTGGCTTCAAACTGCGATCCTTCTGATCTCTGTCTCCTGAGTAGCTAGGATTATAGGCGTGAGCCACCGGCACCTGGCTCTTTTTATACTTTTATATAGAATACAATTCATATATATATATTGTGGGACTGGAATTTGAACTCAGGGCTTCAAACTAGCAAAGAAGGCACTCTACCACTTGAGCCATACTTTCAGCCCATTTTGCTTTGGTTATTTTGGACATGGGGTCTCCCCATCTATATGCTGGGCTGGCCTCAAACCTTGATCCTCCCGATCTCAGCCTCCCAAGTAGCTAGGATGACAGGTGTGAACGATCAGTACCCGGGTCATAATAAGTTTTTGTTGTTGTCATTTGAGCTGAAGTGGAAGACTAGGTCATGAGGCAGCAAACTTTTTCTACAAATTTCCAGAAAGTAAATATTTTCAGCTTTGTGGGTAGTCTCTTGCTTTGGCTTGTTTTGGTTTGGTTTTATGTGTGTGGTACTAGTGATGGAACCCAGGACCCTGTGCATGCTAGGCAAGTGTTCTACCACTTCAGCTATACCCCCAGGCACAACTCCCAAATAAAAATGAACAAAATACTGCTACATACAAAGACATAGACGAGTGTCAAGCACAATATGCTGGTGAAAGCAGCCAAAGTCGAGGGCTGGGGTGAAGCTTGAGAGTAAAGCACCTGTCTAGCAGGTGCAAGGCTATGATTTCAAAACAGAAAAACACAGAGCTGTAAGAACCGAAAGCAAAGCAGATGGTGACACGGGGTGAGGGTGAGGAGAGGAACAACAAAGGGACAGGAAGACATTTCTTAGATATGTTTCCTGTCTTGAGTGTGGTCATGGCTTCACGGTGTACACGTAGTCAAAACCTAGTATTTCAGGCTGGGAGCATGGCTCACATGGTAGAGCACCTGCCTAGCAACCGTGAGGCCCTGGGTTCAATCCCCATTGCACAAAAAAACAAACAAAACAAAAACCCCAGAATATTTTATTGTTTAAATATAAGCAGTTTTTTGTTTATTGTACATCAACAAAACTATACAGGACAGGAGAAAGGAAGGGAAAGAGGGAGGAAGGGAGGGAGGAAGGAAGACAGGACCATTAACTTGGCAATCACAAGCCAAATTAAAAATATATAAACCCTATGACCTAGCAATGTCATTTTTTTAATCTACCCTGCACAATAAAAGACCCATTCTGAGCAGGGGTGGTAGTTCATTCCTGTAATCCCAGCACTTGGAGCCTGAGGCTGGGGGTTCATAAGTTCAAAGCCAGTCTAGTCTACATGAATACATGGAAAGATTATATCAAAAAAAAAACACAGAAAAAAAGAAAGAGAAAATAAACAAAAAAGACCCTGTATTAGCTAGGCATGGTGATACACACCTGTAGTCCCAGCTAGTTGGGGGGGGGTTGGGAGGCTAAGGCAAGATACACGGTGAGTCTCTGCCTCTTAAAAAATTAATTAAAATAAAAGATCCGGTATTAAGGGCTTTTACTGCATCATCCATCGCAAAGACAAACTCAGGAAGCTCCTGGGATTGTCCAGCAGCAGGAAAATCGTCAAATAGACCGCTGGGCATGGTGGCTCACGCCTGTAATCTTAGCTGCTTGAGAGGCTGAGAGCAGGAGGATTATGGTTCAAGGCCAGCCAGGGAAAATACTTTTTGAGACCCCCCCATGTCCAAAATAAAATGGACTGGCACTGTGGCTCAAGTGGTAGAGCAACTGCTTTGTAAGTGTGAAGCCCTGATTTCAAACCCCAGTTCCACCAAAAAAAAAAAAAAAGTTGAATAGTTGAAAACTGTGAACTGTGTAGCTTCTGAAAACAAGAGTGTGTGTGTGTGTGTGTGTGTGTGTGTGTGTGTGTGTACCATTAAGTAGAAACAGCGAACTGCAGGTGACATGTACAGTGTGATCCCATGCTGTGTGTGTTAGTTGCTCCCGACTGGGAAAGGGCTTCTGGAAGGGCAATCCCAATGATCACACTGCCCCCTAGGGGACATCTTGGAGATCCCTGCATTCAACAAATGCCATTACAAGCTATTTCCTGGAACACCAAAATTAAATAGCTCTTGTCAAGGTCCCCAGTGACCAACCTTCACCAAAGTCAACAGTTAATTTTCTTTCCTTACCTTTCGTTAGCTCTCTGTAACATGAGACCTAGATAACCATGTTCCCCATCTTGAAATACCTTCCTCTAGTGGCTTCCAGGAAAGGAGCCCCAGCTGTCTCCTCCTACCTCCTAGGCCTCCAGCCTCCCACAGGGTCCTCTTCCTGCTGAGCTCTTAGGGGAACACCCCTGATCTCCTCCTCCTGAGCCCTCTTTCTTCTCTATGCTTTGCCTTTCGCCTCAGGGGACCCATACTATCCCCAAGGTTTTTTTTTAATTGGGGGGTGGTCCTCAAGTTTTTGCCCAGGCCAGCCTGGACCTCAATCTTATTTATGTCTCCTAAGTAGCTGGAATTATAAATGTGAGCCACCACACCCAACTTGGTTGCTTATTTTCTTTCTTCTCTCTCTCTCTCCTTTGGAAGTACTGTGGTTTGAACTCAGGGCTCTACCACTTAAGCCACACCATCTGACCCCACACCCAGTTTTCTGCCTGAGCTGGGATTACAGCCATGAGCCACCATTCTCTTCTCCAAGGGTTTTAATAACCTCCATGCATTAATGACTCTCAAACTTCTATCCAGATCTTTCTCCCAAGCTCCAGAGTCCCATTCATTTCCCATGGCTTGCTCCACACCTCCCGTTTGTCTCCCACTAATGGCCAAACCCAACCCATGACTCCCTTTCTGATCACTTCCCCTCTGCCTTCCTCCTCTGAGTAAGAGACAGAAACCAGAGATTCTGGAAAACAGGAGTCTTCCTCAATCCTCCCCTGTACTCCATCATAAATCCTGTAACCGCTGTCTGTCTAACTCCTACTCAAGCTCTTGATTTCAACATGACCAATCAGGCCCCCACGGAAGACTCCTCTAAGCTCAGACTAGTTGGCAACTCCTCGACCATCAGGTGCTCTGAGACACACACTCCATTTCTTCCAGACTCTTCCCCAAATTGTGGGAATTAGGGAGCTTTGTCCCCCGACCCCAGGTCCAAAAACAAAGCATGGTTTCACATACAAACTTCTAGATGTGTAGTGTTGTCCATTTCCCCTAATACCACCCTAGCCCAGGTCCACCAGGCTGTTTTGTTTGTTTTTTTTGACATGACAGAAGTGTGAGACAGGACCTCAAACTCACGATTCTCCTACCTCAGCCTCCCAAGTGCTAGGATTACAGAAGAGTCCTACCAAGCCCAATTTAAGAGTGGGCGCCTTTTTTTTTTCTTTTTTTTGTAGGACTGAGGTTTGAACTCAGGATTTTGCAGTTGGAAAGTAGGCTACCACTCGAGCCATTCCTCCAGTCCATTTTACTGTGGTTATTTTGGAGATGGAATCTCAAGAAATACTTGCCTGGGCTGGCCTCAAATCACGATTCTCCCGATCTTAGCTTCCTAAGTAGGTAGGATTAAGGGTGTGAGCCACCAGTGCCAGGCTAGAGTAGTCTTGGTTTTGGTTTTTTGTTGCTGTTGTTTTTAGCGCTACTGGGATTTGAACTCAGGGCTTACACCATGAGCCCTTTTTTTGTGATGGGTTTTTACGAGATAGGGATTCGTGAGCTATTTGCCCGTGCTGGCTTCGCAACCACGATCCTCTGATCTCTCCCTCCCGAGTAGGCAGGATTACAGCAGTGAGCCACCGGCGCCCGGTTTAAAGTGGGCTTCTTAAAACACAAAATAAACATCACTCCTTAACTTAAAATCCAAAAAAGACGCCTTCCTGGTGCTACTATAAGCCCGGCCTGCCGCTCCTGAAGCGCAAGAAGAGCCACTCCAAAACCACAAGCAGAGAGAACACGCGCTGCAACAATCCCAAGGAAGCCGGCCTGGACTCACGCAAGCGCACTGCGCCTCAGTTGCCGCCCCCGGAATCCGGGTACGCATGCGCACAGTTAGACAGCTGAAGCAGGCAGAGCTATTCGCCTGGTTATGTCGGCCGGGGGTGGGCGGGACCTGAAAGGAAGAGAGACGTTTCCTCTTCCTCCAGGAACCGGAAGTCGCTATCTACCGGGTGAGGCCGGCCTTTACAACCGGAGAAAGCGAATCCAGGTGATGGTTCGCGCGCGCGAGCGTTGGGGCGCGGCGGGACTAGGCGTTTTTCTGCTCGGAGGCACTCGTTGGGTACTGGAGTATGTGCCAGGGGCTCTGGCTTGAGGGGGGCGGCTGATTGGGGAGATTGACTCCCCGGGACCCCAACCGCCAAGCCAGGCTGCCCTGGGCCTGACTCCTGTGGACAGCAATCGCTAGGCAATGCCCGAGCCTTGGTGAGCCCGAAGGAGCCGCCCACCCGCCGCCTTTTGGGTCCGGGCGGGTTGGGGTCGGAGGTGGGGGGACGAACTCTTCCAGCCGTTCTTGACACTCTTGGATTGGTCGCCATAGGACAAGCCGAGACTTCTGCGGTCTTTGTGCAAGCCGCACCGCATTCCTGGGGTAGGGATGCTGTGATCACCTGATGAAATGAGATTCTTGGGCCCATCTGTAGAGTCGAAAAAACTTATTTAGGCTTGGGGGGCGTGGCTGAAGTGGTAGAGCGCCTGGCTAGCAAGCGCAAGGCCCTGAGGTCCAAAAAAAAAAAAAAGAAAGAAAGAAAGAAAGCTTTGCCGGGCGCCTGTAATCCTAGCTACTCAGGAGGCAGAGATCAGGCGGATCACGGTTCGAAGCCAACCTAGGCAAATAGTTCGCGAGACTCTATCTCGAATAAACTTCACCAAAAAGGGCTAGTGGCATGGCTCAAGATGCAAGCCCTGAGTTCAAACCCCAGTACCGCAAAAAAAATTTTTTTAAAGCTTATTTGTGTATTCAACAAATGTTATTAAGTGCTTAATTTATACAGGCACTATGCGTGCTTAGGAATTCAGCAGTGGACAAAACATTGTCCCTAGCCAAGTGCTGATGGCTCACGCCTGTAATCCTGGCTACTTGGGAAGCTGAGATCTGGAATATCACCCATCCGTTGTTCTGTAGACTCCCCCCTCCAAAGTAACCAAATCAAAAATGAACTGAAGTGTGACTCAAGTGATAGAGCTCCTGCTTTACAAGTCAGAAGCTCCAAGTTCAAACCCAAGTCACACACACACACACACAAAGTCCCTGAAGAACTAATATCCTCTTGAGGGAAGATCTGAGGTTAGGTTCAGACACCTGCATTTTTGGAGCACCCTGAGTAAGTATGTTGTAGCTAGTGGCTAGGCTGGGATTGGAGGAAGGACACTGCTGCCCAGACAGGTGACAGCATGGGCACCTGACTAAGCTACACCTTATTTACTTAAGCCTTCAGGGTCTTGTAACTTTTTTCTTGCATCTCATGTTTCTCCCCATAATTGCTTTCTGGGAAAATGCTTTATCTGTCCTAGGGATTTTACAGTTGCCATCCCCTCTTCTGACCACCTGGCATTGTGCTGCCTTCTGTCAATCAGGCCTTAGTTTAAATGACACCCAGAAAGGGTTTATGCCAGCTCACCTCAAAGCACTTGCCAGCATTTGAAATTCTTCCCATTGTGAGCTTACTTATTAAGGGTCTGTCATCCACTAGAACTTGAGGATCCTGCCTTGTTGCATGTAGTATTAGTATGGTCCTGGAATTTGCTCACTCATTCATTCAGTAAATATTTATTTATTTATTGTGGCACTGGAGTTTCAACTCAGAGCCTCAAGATTGCTAGGCAGAAGCTCTGAGCACTTGAGCCACTCCACCAGTCTTTTTATAATGGGGTTTTTTTTTGAAAGAGTGTTCATCTAGCCTCTGCACAGCTGGCCTGTTGGAGAGTCATCCTCATCAGGATCAATGGCTTCCAGGTGTAGGTGCTGAGCCCTTACCATTTTTCATGTTGGTCCCACACAAATCCTCTGAGATAGCTGCCTCGTCCCAGTTTTATATATGAAGAGACCAGTGCACAGAGAGCTTAAGTGACTGGCCTGGGATCACACAGTAACTCCCCACTGGTGAGGAATCAGGGTTTGAGCCTGCTCTCACCCTTTCTGCCCAGAGTATGTGGGGACTGCCTTCCTGCTTGGGGACCCAAAGCCTTGTTCCCCAGAGGAAGAGCACTGGGCACCATTGTACAAGTCTTCCCTTCTCCAAGGCCACTGCCAGACCTCCTTTCTGGCCCATTTCCAAGAGCAACAAACTGGAAGGCCGCCGGCGACCCTGAGCCTCTGACTTCTGCCCTCCCTTCCATCACAGATTGCCCACCTGCAGCCATGGGACGCAGAAAGTCAAAACGGAAGCCACCCCCCAAGAAGAAAATGACAGGCACCCTGGAGACCCAGTTCACCTGCCCCTTTTGTAACCACGAGAAGTCTTGTGATGTGAAAATGTGAGTGGGGCTAGGAAGGGCACCCTGCCCCTCTGGGTGTCCAGGCCTCTTACCCCATTTTCCCACTCCAACCCTTCCTGCTTGCACAGTTGCTACCTGCAGACTTAGGGCTCATTGCTCACCATCTTCTCCACCTCATCCATTTCAGGGACCGTGCCCGCAACACCGGAGTCATCTCTTGTACCGTGTGCCTAGAGGAATTCCAGACGCCCATCACATGTATCCTTGGAAAATCCCCAGAGTGGAAGAGGGACTGGGATAGTCAGGGCTGCCCTGTTCAGGGTAGGTGGCTCAAGGGGATCTGGCCAAGGGCAAAGAGGTTGAAGTTCATCTCTGCTCACTTGTCCCTACTATACTCTGGTGCCATTTCCATGCAGTGAAAAGAGTGCCATCTAGTGATTTACATGGGGTGATAAGGTGCAAGGTATGGGTCTGGCAGACACTGATGTGATCCACAGAGACCGGTTCAGAGAAGGGATCCATGCCATCAGTCATCCTTGACCTCAGTGGCTCAGATCTGTCAGAACCAGTGGATGTGTACAGCGATTGGATAGATGCCTGTGAAGCAGCTAATCAGTAGCAATGTAGAGGACCCACCCCCTTGCAGCCCTGCCTGCCATGGACCCACCACTGGGTACCAATCCAGAGACATTCCAGGGGTCCAGGGTGTGGGTCCAGGGCTGTCGTGGCCCTCTGTGTGTGTGTGGAGTGGATGTGAGTGAGTGTGAGTGCGTGTGGCTGTGGAGATGACCGTGGCTGTGTGTTCACAGATGGGTGTCACTGAGGGATTGGTAGGTCAGCAGGTCTGGACCTGCTTCTCTTGGTTCCAGGAACCTTTGAGTTGCCCTGTTCTCTAGCTCACCAGCGTCCCCCAGCTTTTGGGGAGTGGTTTCCTGACATCCTGGGCAAGAGAAAGATGCAGGACCTCTCCAGCCTCCTCACCCACTTCACCAGCACTTGCCCATGTGAACTGGACTTCCCACCCTCCTTCCCTGCCTCCAGATGCCCATGGCATGGGAGTTCAAGCCATGCCATGTCCCAGGTCCCTTGGCTGGCCTTGGCAGGGAGCCCCATTTCATGTTCATTTGCTCTTGTAGAAGAGGCAGGAGCTGCACTGGGGACAGCTGTCATCACAAGCCCTTCAATAAAGCAGCCAATGCAAATTCTTGGCTCCCTGTACTTCTTGGGTTCTGTGCCAGACAGAGAGGTGGGTTTTGGAATGAGAGGGCCTGGTGGCCCATTGAAGTGGAGTTTGGACCATCCTTCAAACCATTTAATGTTTTATTCACTCATTAAACATTCAGGGGTGAAACAGGAAATACTGAGTGCACAGGACACTGATGAACCAGAAGGACATCTGGCCAGATGTTTATAGCAGGGTGCACAGGACACTAACAGACCAGACGAACACCTGGCTGGGTATTACTGCTTCTTAAAGCAAACTATGATGAGACAGATGGTAAAGGAGTGAGGTAGTCAGGAAGGCTTCCTGGATGGGTGACCTGAAGGAAGTAATGCTTGAGAGCCCCCCATGCCAGAGAATGCTCTTGGGGCTTGTTACCCCTGTGTCCTGACAGCCACCCTGTGAGGCAGGTGCTGAGGTAACCCTGGGTTTACAGGTGAGGAAACAGGCCAAAGAGGCCACTGGCCTGAAGCTCCACAGCCCACAATCTTTTTTTTTTTTTTTTTTCATTTTTCTTTTATTATTCATATGTGCATACAAGGCTTGGTTCATTTCTCCCCCCTGCCCCCACCCCCTCCCTTACCACCCACTCCACCCCCTCCCGCTCCCCCCCCTCAATACCCAGCAGAAACTATTTTGCCCTTATCTCTAATTTTGTTGTAGAGAGAGTATAAGCAATAATAGGAAGGAACAAGGGGTTTTGCTGGTTGAGATACACAGCCCACAATCTTAGGTCCTTCTAAGTCCAGGCTCTAAGCTGAAGGAACAGCTCATGACTGTCCTGGGGGCTGTGGACAGGGGAGGGAACCTTTTCTGAAAGTGGGTAGGGGTCTCAGAAATCTGGAGGTCTGTACAGGTTACACAGCTAGTGAGTACCCAGGGCTACATATGCCCAGATGGGAGACTGGGCCCTAGCAACCTGGGCAGACCCAGCACCTCAATGTGGCCTTACAAGCCTGGGCACCAGGTGACTGTGCCTTGGAGTCCTCAGTGGTACAAATGGAAGGAAGCTTCTAGAGCCATACTGAGATGGAAGGACCTGGCATGGTCCAAGTGGCTTTGGGGCCCTCTCTGGGCAGTGATGAACATAAACAATGAAGATGTCGAACTGGTCAGGAAGGCCGTGGCCACTAGGCTGTGTTGTTATGTCTGGCATGTCCCCTAGTCCCACTCTACGGTAACACACTGCTCTCTGTCACTCCTGCCTCCTAGTCTAAGGCTGCAGGTAAGATCCCTTAGGTCAGGCAGGAGCTAGAGGACCCAGGTAGCATGATGGAGAGGTTCATGGATTGGGGTATCTCCAGAATCCAACAGAAAGGGGGCCTATTCCTGCCACCCGAGCCCTCCCTGCCACCCGCCCACCCCGACTGACAGGCTAAGTGCTAATATGGTGCTGTTTTGCGGAGGAGGCAGGGCCCTGGGCCAGGCCCTGATTCTCCTCAGCATAGCTTCCCCTCGCTGGCCCTGGGGAACATATCTTTTACTTGTCGAGCCAAGAGTGCCTGGAATTCACTTTACAAGGCCCCATGGGCTGTGTGTGTCTGTGCGTGTGAGACTTCTGGTGTCTGTCTCTGCAGGTCCCCACGTTCCATCCTCGACCCCTGTCCTGGAGAGGGAGGGAGAGAGGCAGCGAAGTGGGGAAGACTGCTGGGTCCCACTCCTGCTTTATAGTCTCTTCTTGCAACCCTGAAGGCTGGTGGCTTCCAGGCAGGATGACTGGGGCTCTCTTCACCAGAACAGGGTCCCCTCTGAAGCTTGAGGCTGTCCACAGACAGGATCCTGGGCTGGCAGGGGGGACCCAGTCCTAAGAAGACGGCTGAAAGCAAACAGGGTACACAGAAGGCAGCCATGACTCAAGGTAAGCCATTCAGCTGCTCTGTGCCAGTCTGTAGGAGCTATTACCTGAGCCCCTAAAGTACCCATCCTTCCGTTTTCCCACAGTCTGGGCCTAAAGGGTTCACCCTGCCCACAAGGACCACCAGGACCCTTACGTGTCATTTCATTTAAGCGTCCCTCACCTACAAAACTCACTGTCCCTATTTTCCTGAAGGGAAAACATACCTAAGAAGGGGAAGTGACTTCCCAAAGGTCACCCAGCCAGAGAGTGGCAGAACCTTGCCTGATGGTTTTGACACTTGAAGTTTCTCGCTACAACCATGCCTGGCGGAAGGGCATGTGTGTGTTGTGGATATTACGTAGTGTGTCATAAGGCTGTGTTTCCACCCTGAGTACAATGTAGCCTTTTTTATTATTTTTTTGGTGGCACTGGGGTTTGAACTCAGCACCTTACACTTGCTAGGCAGTTGTTCTACAACTTGAGCCATACCTCCAAGACCCTTTGCTTCAGTTTATTTTTCAGATAGGGTCTTACATTTTTGCCTAAGATGAGCCTCAAATCTTAGTCCTATCTCTTCTACCTCCTGCATAGCTGGGATTACAGGCACACACCACCATGCCCACCTCCCCTTTTTTTTTAAATGGTGCTGGAGATGGAACCCCAGGCCTTGTGCATGCCAGGAAAGCACTCCTCCATTGAGCCATACTCAGCCCTCAGCCTAGCATGTGCCTTTTTTTTGGTACCGGGGCTTGAACTAAGGGCCTCACAATTGCAGTCACTCTACCACTTAAGCCACTCTGCCAGCCCTAGAGTGTACTGCATTTGCATGTGTCATCTGTGTGAGAAAGTAGGAGCGTATTTTGCTTATGCGTGGGACGTGTGTCTAGTGTGTGTGCATGGGAGACAGAGACATCAGAGCCAGGCTGCTTATGTGTGTTCAAGAGCCACACAGGCTCCAGGACAGAGCAACCCGGAGGCCCCTGGTGATTTTACAGCCATTTATTGTGCTCCAGTGAAATAGAAAAAAGAAAGTGCTCTTGTTACAAATGCTGCCGTCACATCCACGGCCGCCAGTCACCAGTCGCTGCAAACCAAATCGCGTGTGTCCGCTGCGTCTCTGGGCATGCAGTTTGCTCCCACTGTGGGGATGGGGCGGGGGCGGGCCGAGCCTGAGCTCTGGGGGCTTCGCTTGGGGGGGCAACTTCTGATCCTGGGGGGCACCCACTTGTGAGGGAGTGGGGGGCAGCTGGAATAGATTTGCTCAGTGCATCTTCTGGGTGTTGAGGGGGTCACCCAGCTGTATGTTGGGTACTTCAGCACTACAGGGAGGCGGGCCTCCTTCCCCCTCCAGACCCCCCAGTCTGCACTCCCCAAACTGTAACCCTGTAGGCAGGGGGCTGGAGGACGCCATGCAGGGGGAGGGGGTCAGCTGGACCTGGCTGGGTCCAGCCGAGAGCAGCAGCCAGCCTTTCTGGGGGACCACTAGGCGGAGTTGTAATAGTTGTGCGGATGGTGGTTGTGGGTGGGCTCGCCTAGTTCTGGGTACTCCGGCGTCAGGCAGTACTTGGGGTCGTAGACCTGGCGTGGCAGCCCATACACCGTCATGCCCCGCTGGGAGGCCCCCTTGTTGCTACCCATCTGCAGGCTGACATTGAGTGTGTCACAGTGCTCCATGCCCAGCCCTGGCTCGAAGATCTGCCGCTTGGTCCCAGGTGCAGTCATGCCAGCCTGCGGAGGGCACAGTGGTCAGGCCACAGAGACAGTGAGGGGCCTGGGTCTCGCCAGTATGCCCCACAGCTCTCCACTCACCTGGCTGGCGCCCTTATTGGTACCCATCTGTAGGCTGATGGTAGCCTGGTCTAGGGGCTGGTCCGTGCCCAGCTTGGGGTCATAAAGGTGGCGCCGAGTGCCATAGGCAGTCATGCCCTGCTGGCTGGCAAACTTGTTGGTGCCCATCTAGAAAGCCAGAAGGAGAATCCCACCAAGGGTTAGAGAGCATGCCTGATACCAGAGGTAACATACTGGAAACTGAGGCTGACAGTGGCTGTATCATGTTATCAAGGTCTCAGGTTCAAGTCCAAGCCCACTGCTCACTCATCAACTGGGTGAAAGTTAGCTAACTTCTTCAGGCCTCAATTTCCCTATCTGTACAATGGGTGTGGTACAAAGCTATCCCCAAGGGCTACTGGGAATGGGAGTGAGCTAGGGAATAGAAAATGCTGAGCACAGCAGGTGACGAAGGGGTCTCACCTGTAGTCCAATGATGTTACGCCCTTCTCTTAGCTTCTCAGGCTCAAATTTCCGTTCTTGCTTCTCTGCATACTTCACTCCCACATTCACCTTGTTTCCTTTCGTCTTGGCCTGGGTGCCAGTGAGGAAGACAGGGACCAACGAGGGAGCCTCAAGTAAGGCTGCATTGTCCATCTGGAGATTTGCAGCACCTACTCTGCCCAGGCCACCCCAACTGGGCTCAGTGGCCCCATGTGCCTCCCAGCCGGTCGCCCCGCCCCCACACTCACCATGCTGGCCAGGGCCAGGAGAGTGGACTGCACTTGGGTGTGGTTGGTGTTCTCAAACAGGTCATTGGCCTCAAAGATGTCATGGGGCTTCACCCCATACTTGGTAATGGCCTTGATGAAGTTGCCAATGTTCTCCAGCTGGAGGGGAGCAGGCAGCGTCAGGGGTGGGAGGGTGCAGGACTGAGGGATAGACAGTGGCTAGGGCTGAAGAAAGTCGCATGTCGGGCTTACCTGGTGCCAATTTTGGGTCGACTCGTTTACCTTCTTCACAGAGCCCGGCTGCAATTTATTGATGAATCTAATAAAAAAAGAAATAGACTGGGAAAAATGGGCCCCCGCTGCCCATCCACACGCAGCCCAGCAGGCGAGGGGGACAGGAGACACTGGGTCACCTGTGGGTGAGTAGGTAATAGCATTGTGCCGTTGTGACAGTTCTGAGAGGCAGCCCTTCCAAACCAAATCATCTCAGCACAGCCTTAGGAGGAATGGGCAAGGGCAGGAGGAGTTGGACCCAGGTCGCCAGCCAGAAAGTCCCTACATAGGGATCTCCTAGCTTTCCTGTGACTTCATTAGTGGCCACGTCACAGTATCTTTTTTGTTAGCTTGTTTGTTTGTCTGATTTTGCAGTACTGGGAATTGAACTCATGGCTCATGCTTACTGGGCAAATGTTCTACCACTTGAGCCATGCCCCTGGCTGTTTTGTTTGCCTTTTGGTTTTGAGACAGGGTCTTGCTAATTTTGCCCAGTGACCATCCTACCTATGCCTCTTGAGAAGCTGAGGTTACAAGCAGGAAGCACCATCCTCACCTTTGGTGTCTTTTATTTTGTGCAGACACAGCAGGGAGTCCACACTTTTTTTCTCTGACCACACTCACACTCTTTTTTTCTTTTCCCAGTGCTGGGGTTTGAACTCAGGGCCCACACCTTGAGCCACTCCACCAGCCTTTTTTTGTGAAGCGTTTTTTAAGATAGGGTCTCAAAAACTATTTGCCCGGGCTGGCTTTGAACTTCAATCCTCCTGATCTCTGCCTCCTGAGTAGCTAGGATTACAGGCATGAGCCACTGGTGCTCGGCTATACTCACCCTCTTGCTGATATCAGTGTCTTGACTTCAAAAGTCCTCGATGTGCCACTCAGTCCCCAATGTCTCCCAGCTCTCTTACTTTCCAATCCAGCTCCCTCAAATCAGCCTCAAATTGAACACCCTCACCCATCCCAGGCTCCTGATATGAACTACCTCCTTCACCAAGTTCCTCCTCTATCCCCCCAGACTGGGTGAATGGCAGCCACACCCCCCCCCCATGTGCTTAGCAAAGCCCTTGGACTTGAATTTTTTTCTCTTTTTTCTTAGCTGCATATGCAATCCCTCAGCAAGTCTTTTGGTTTGCCTTCTAAATACATCAGGAAGCCTCTGTCCCAGTCACCAGACCCTCTCTTCCTCTCGGCTGGTTTTTTTTTGGTCAGACTGGGGTTTGAACTCAGAGCTTTGTACTTTGCAAAGCAGGTGCTCTATGTCTTGAGTCGCACCTTCAGGGCATTTTGCTCTGGTTTGTTTGTTTTTTGGGGGTACTAAGGTTTGAGCTCAGGGTCTCATGCTTGGTAGGCAGGTGCTCTACCACTTAAGCCACTCACCGGCTCTTTTTTGTGTTGGGTATTATTGAGATAGGGTCTCATGAACTATTTATTTGATGGCTGACTTTGAACCTCGATCCTCCTAATCTCTGCCTCCCAAGTAGCTAGGATTACAGGCGTGAGCCACCAGCACCTGGCTGTGCTAGGCTCTTACAGCGGCCTCCCTGAGGGTTCTCAGCTTGCAACTCCCCCTCCTCACAGACCCTTATCTAGCACCAGAATGGCCTTTGGAAAACAAAATAAGGGGCCAACATGGATTACAAATGTAATCCTAGCTACTTGGAGGTAGAGATAGGAGGATCTCAGTCTGAGGTCGGCCCTGGGCAAGATCGAATCTGAAAAATAAAGCCAAAGGGTTGGAGGTGTGGCTTAGGTAGTAAAGCACCTGCCTAGCAAGTGCGAGTACCCCAGTACTGACAAACAAAACAAAGTACTACGAAAAAAAATTGTTTTCAGGTTATCCTCCAATTCAAAATACCCTAGTGGGAAGCCAGGCATGGTGGTGCACACCTGTAATCCTAGTTACTCAGGAGACAGAGGTAGGAGGATCACAGATCAAGTCCAACCCTGGCAAAAGTACAAGACCCTATCTGAAAAATTTAAAGCAACAGGACTAAGGGTGTGGCTGAAATAATACATTGGTGGTTTCCTGTTGCCTTCAAAATAAAATCCAAACTCCTTTGCATGACTAAAAGGCCCAACTCGCTCCTCCCTCCACTTCTCCTCACTCAATTGGTGCTGGTCTCCTACCTCAGGGCCTTTGCACTGGCTAAGCACTTTGTCTCAACCACTCTTCTCTCAGATCTCCTGCTTCCCTTCAGCAAAGTTCTGTTCAAATGTTACCTCCCAAAAAGGCCTCCCAGACCAGTCTATAAGAAATAGCACACTTGCCACCATTGAACCTCCTATCCACTTGGCTTTTCTCTGAGACACTGTCACCAGCAAGTATGTGATTATCTGGTCAGTTATTTGATTGATATCCCCCACTAGGATGAACTGACTCAAATGCAGTCTGTTTGGTTCACTGTCCTTGTGCCTAGGCCAAAGGCTGCATACAGTAGGATCTCCATAAATGTTTGTTTCGTGAATGCCTCAGTGAATCATTGACTGGTTAGCTGCATACTTTTCTTTCGTTTGTTATGCTGGAGATGGATCCCAGAGTGCCTTGTACATGTGTCTCGGCTCTCCCACTGGGCTATGTCCCTAGCCCTGGCTCTGTACTCTTTGCTTTTTTTCTTGTTCTGGTGGAACTGGGATTTGAACTCAGGGCTTTGCACTTGCAAAGGAGGCGCTCTAACTCTTGAACCACACCTCCAGTCCATTTTGCTCTGGTTAATTTGGAGATGGGGATCTTGCAACTATGAACTGAGATTCTCCTGTTCTCAGACTCCCACGTAACTAGGATTACAGGCATGAGCCACCAGTGCCCAGCTGTCTTTCTTTTTTTTTAGACAGGATCTCACTATGTAGCCCAGGCTGGCCTTGAACTCTCAGTCCTCTTGCCTAAACCTCCCCAGTGCTGGGACTATAGACATGTACCACAATGCCCAGCTTATAATGAGTTTCTGACAGCAATGGAAATCATAAATTACCACAGCACATTCTGATTTCACCACGCCAATGATGAATAGCTATTGTTGCTGCTACCTTTTAGCTGTGACCTCTATTTCTTGGAATGCTGAAGGCTGCAGAAGGGCCTATCTTGCATATAGCATGCTGGTTAAGATTGGGCCAGGCGTAATGGCTAACTTCTGTAATCCCAGCTATTTAGGAAGGGGAAATCAGAAGGATCAAAGTTCCAGGCCAGTCCAGGCAAAAGTTAGCAAGACGCTATCTTAATAAATAAGCCAGGTGTGGTAGTGCGTTCCTGTGATCCCAGTTACTGGGAGGCATAGGTAGGAGGATCTCTGTCTGAGGCCAGCCCTAGGCAAAAATTCGAGACCCTATATGAAAAATAACTAAATCAAAAGGAGTCTGAAGAGTGGCTCAAGTGGTAGACTACCTGCCTAGCAAGCACAAGGCCCTGAGTTCAAACCCCAGTACTGCCCAAAAAAGAAAGATTTTGGAATTATTTCCATTGCAATACTTGGGGCAATGTGTTTTACTGAACAGCCTCTGGGGGGTTGTTTCATTTTGTTTTGTTTTTCTTCTTTTTTTTTCTGTTAAAAGGGTGCAAAGATGAGCCGGGGTGGTTCATGCCTGTAGGACAGTGCTTGGGAGGGGAAGGTAGGAGCACCCTGAGCTCCAGGCCAGCCTGGGCTACATATTGAGACACTGTTTCAAAGAAAGAAAGTGTTGCCAGATGCCAGTGGCTCACGCCTATAATGGTAGCTACTCAGAAGGCAGAGATCAGTAGGATCAGAGTTCAAAGCCAGCCTGGGCAAATAGTTCAAGAGATCCTATCTCGAAAAAAACATCACAAAAAGAGCTGGCGGGGTGGCTCAAGGTGAAGGCCCTGAGTTCAAGCCCCAGTACCGCGCACACACACAAAAAGAAGTGTTATTCAAAAGTATTATTCTCAACTCCTGGGTGTGGTCCTTTGAGGAGGGTGGGGGTCTATGTGGTGATGGATGCCAGTTGGGGGACAGCAAGGTCTGGTCCTCAAGTGCCCCACTTACTCGCACAGGATGATGCCATCTTTGAGGCCGTCCATGAAGTTGTTACCAATGCGGCGCCCCGTCACCCCCTCAATCCACTCTCTCAGCTCCTGCTCCCGATGGTGGTCGTACTTCTGGGCCAGCTAGGGGGTGAGGGACACAGGAGGGTGATGAGGACACAGGCAGTGGAGAGCCACTTTGGATTCCTGGAGCCAACCTGGACCTCCCTAGGCTCAATGTCCTTCCTCGGTCCATCCCAACTAAGGCAATTCTGTCCCAGTGTCCATTGCGGGGGGGCGGGGGGGGGCACCGCTGAGGAGGGCTGAGGGCCAGGGCTGAGGTGGCACCTGCCCAGGGGGCCATTCCGGGCATTCTGAGGTTTGGCACCAGAGAATGTAGACTAGGAGGGGGGTGGACAGCTAGATCCTTCGAGCTGGGGGGCGGTGCCTGGCCTCCCGGTTTCCCCTCCAAGCCAAACTTGGGGCTTTGCTTCCCCTGGCCCTGCCTCCTCCACCCCCCTGTTGGAAGAGGGGGTGCCTCAATCCTGGAGAAGGAGGCCCAGGGTGCTGTCTTACACCTCTGTCTCTCAGTATTGCCCCAAGTGGTCACCCAGGGGGCTCTGATTTTGGTTGGAAGTGGGGTACTTGCCTTTGTCTCATTTCTGACCATACTGTCTCCTCCCCGCCCCTCCTAGCATCCACCCAACTCAGTCTGCCCTTCCTGGGCTCAGTTTTGGGGTCCCCATCTCTCTGGGTAGCTAGTCGCTGACCAGCTGTGGGGCTCGTCCCTGTAGGCCAGGTTCCCTAGCTCTGGTGGGGGATGGGGCTCCCGTCTCCCACTCTGTCTCCATCCCTGTCTCACTCTTACCTCGCCCTTGGCTCTCTCTCTCTGGTCGTCTCTCCTGTGTCTCAGGATCCCAAGTGTCTCTGTCTGCGTCTCCCCCACTCCTTCCCCCCACTTTACCTCCTCCCCCTCTTCTCTAGAGCCCTCCAGGCTCCCAGCTCCTGGGGGATGGGCTGTCTCTTCTCCTGGGTGGGGAGGGGAGGGGAAGAGGGGAAGGAGCAGCCCCTCACCTGGCCCCGGCCCTGCCGCCCCCCTCCCCACCAGCCCAACTTTATAAAGCAAACCGGCCCTTATATAGCGCAGCCGGGCTCCCCGAGGCCACCTTATAAGGCGCGGCGGCTCGGCGCGACTCTGGGGCCGGCGCTGGGTGGGGGGAGGGAGGGGGCGGCGCTGAGATGGTCTCCCGCCCAAGCACCCGCCCCCTCTCCGCACCGGAGGATCCCCTAACCCAGCTTCCAATCCTGGATCCCCAATGCCTCTCTGTGGGACCCTGGGAAAAGTCACCCGAGCCTCAGTGTTACCTGCTGTTAAATGGGCTGGGCTCCAGCCCTGACAGTGCACTGGGGACTTCAAGACCCCCGCTGTAGAGAAGCTGATCCCATTCTCTTGTGGGTGGGTGTGGTGGGGCGAGTTCAGATCTCAGCTCTCGGTCCCTAACTACTTGCCTTTCCTTCACGAGCCTCAGTTTACCCATCCATAACACGACGAAGTTGTCTCGTGTCTTTCTAGTTAAACTAGGGAACCCCATCGGGGCCCTCTGTGGTCCACTTCCTGTTCTCCCCAACTGCCTCTCCTTTCTCCATCTCCCACACCTTCCTCTCCTCCTAGGAACCCCAACTGTCAAGCTAACCCCAATTTCTTTGTCAGGCTGGGGGCTGTGAGAAACATCAGCAAATCTTCCCCCTACTTGCTCTCCAGAAATACAAAAGGTTGACAAGGGACCTTGAAAAAGTCAATGCGCTGACCACCTCTGTTTGTGGGTGGCCCGGTGCCCCTCGATCCATCCCCCAAAAGTAGCTGAGGGCTCTGGGATGATCACAAGGGGAAGGAAGACAGCTTCTGCCTAGTACCTCTCCCCTTGGGTGTATCAGGCCCTAAGTCACATGAGACAGCCAAAAAGGGGGTTCAAGGAACCCCAAGAATGAGACTTCTGTCCTGGCAGTCTCCCAACCTTACCTTGTTCTTGACCTCAGCAGACAGCCCGTAGGCGGGGCCTCGGTTGAAATGAGCTGAGGACATGGTGACCTGGGTTCCGGCTGGGGCAGCGGTAACGGTGAAACAGGACCAGGGAAGCAGCAGCAGCGGCTGACGCTCCGTCTGCACTCTCTTCCCTCCTCACACGTTTTTGAAGCTCCAGAGGCCGCCCGGGTCTCTTCCAAGCCCGTCCCATTGGACGCCCGGGCCTGCCAAGGGGCGGGGCGCCCCCCTCACCTTGGCCACCCCCCCTTCGTGATGTCAGGGCCTTGGTATTGGGAGATGATTGTGTCATTGTTTCCACCTAGGGGACAGCCTCCGTTATTCTGGGAGGGGGGCTTGATCAGACAGACCAACTCCCCTCTCCAATATTGTGTGGCTGGGTCTCTAAGTCCTTCCTCCCCTTCCAGTCCTGAGGCAAGGCTGTTCCCCGTGGTAGTTTAACAAGCACCTTCCTGGGCTTACTTCCAGACATCAACAGTCTATATATAGCCTTAAGCAAAACTCTTCTTCTCTCTGGGCTTCTATTACCACATCTGTAAAATGGGCTGATAATAGAGCCTGCCTCTTTTCGGTGTCATGAAGATTTGACATGTCCATCGCAGTGACTGATACAGTGCAGGGACTTGAGAAATGACATTATTTCTGCTGGGGATCTAGCACCCTAGTTCTGTCCTCTCCAGCTCCTCCTAAGGAGCTAGGGGAGCAGAGATCCTGGACTACCCTCTCCATCCTCCTGTGAGGCACCTGCGGGACAGGGAGTGACTGTGAAAGCAGGTTATAGGTCACAAACATTCCCCTATGTCCCTGTCCTAGCCAGGGTGGCCTGGGTGGACACCTGTACACAGTCCTGCCTGGACCACTGGGGTGATGCCATGCCTCCACATTGTACCACATGAATCAGACAGAGGTAGTGACACCCGGATGATGTATCAGTGGCCTACCACACACTAATGATACATTAAGGACATGCACTTGCTGGCCACATGCTAAGGGCACAGCTGTGGTAGACCAATATGACAGTAGCCTTTCCTCCCTCCCTCCTTTCTTTTCTTTTCTTTTCTTTCTCTGCAGGACTCAGGAGGAAACCAGGGTCTCTCATATGCTAGGCAAGTACTTTACCACTGAGCTACCCCCCAACCCTGTTTAAATTTTATTTTGAGACAGAGTCTTGCCAAATTGCCTGGGTTGGCATCGGACTTTTCATGCTCCTGCCTCAGTCTCCAGAGTAGATGAGATTACAGGCATGTACCACCACACCCAGCTTTGACAACAGTTTTTCTGTCAAGCCCTGTTCCAAGCTCTCATTGTTATTATGAGCACTTTACAGAAGGGGAAACCAAGGCACAGGGGCGTGGAATCACTTTCCCTGGGGATGTGTCACTGTGGCAGAAAGAAGTTTGAACCCAGACCCTTTCTCTTAATGCTTTGAAACTCAGGCAAAGATTTCCTCAGTCTTGGCACTACTGACCATCAGGGCTGGATAATTCTTCCTGGTGGTGGTGTGGTGTTGTCCTGGGCATTGTGACTTTAAGCAGCATTGCTGGCCTTACAGAAATGTACACAGACATTACCAAATGTCCCTTGGAGATCAGGATGGGAGCGGTGAGAAGCAGATTATCCCCGTTTGAGAACCACTAGGCTAAGGAAATATGCTAAGGACCAGTTGATGGCACGTCATTCTATACTGAAGCTGCAGAAAAATACATGGAATAGGGTAGCAGTTAGCACCTCTGATGGTCAAGTGCGTTGGATCTGTTAACTCGGCCCTCACACCAGCCCCCTGGGGCCCAGGAAAGTGCAAGATGTTAACATTAGGGGGTTTGAAATGGCAGAGAGGGGTTTCGAACGTACAAATTCATGGCTCCTGCCTCCGCTGAACGAGCCACTGCGCATGCGAGCACCGGCGCCTGGGCACAGCGCCCCCTGGCGGCCTGGGAGGGGCGGGGCCGGGGGCGGGGCCTGGCGAGGGTCCGGGCGGCGGTGACGTCACGCGCTGACTCACTCGGCCAGACTCCCCGACCCGCGGACACTTGGCCATTTATAGAATCCGCGCGGGCTCTGAAGTCACGGCCCAGGCACGACGGGGGCGGAGTGGGGGAGCTCTTGGCTCGCCCCCCGGACCGGGCAGCCCAGGGTCCCCCAAGGAGGCGGCCCTCTCTGGATCTGTCTTGTCCCTCCGATGCTGTCCCTGTGTCTATCTGTCGCTGTTCTCTGGTGGCTGTTTGTGGGTCTTTCTGAATAGGCCTTGCTCACTGTCCCTGTTTTTCTCTGCGTCCTCATTCTCTCCATCTCTGTTTCTCTGATTCGGTTCCAGGGCTCTGAAGCCTGCTGTGTCCCCTCTCTTGATGTCAATGTCGCTGTTTTGTCCATTTCTCCCGGAATGTCTGGTAGATGGACTGATCACTGAGCCCATCGGAGACCAACCTCATTACAGACCGCCCATGTGCAGTCCCCTACTCAGCTCCTGTCTGATATTTCCCACTCCCCTCTGTGCCTCAGTTTCCCACGTAAATGAAAAGTGTGGGACCTGTACACTGAATACATGGAATTCAAGGGGGTGAGCTAAGACTGGAACCCAAGTCTGTGTGACATGTTGATTTTAGTCATGTACAAAGGACAGACATAGGGCTGGGGGCCTGGCTCAAGTGGTAGAGAGCCTGCCTACCAAGAGCAAAGCCCTGACTTCAGATCCCAGTACCGCCAAAAAAAAAAAAAAAAAAAGATGGGCACCTTCTGGACTGAGGATAGTAGAAGTGGGGTTTCTTTTCTTTTATGTTTTTATTTCTCTCCTCTCTGGAACAGCTACTAAGGGAGTGGTCAGAGGGGGTGGTGGGGTCACAGGCTATGATTGGCATTTTTCAACAGCTGCCCCTCCTTTGCTCAGCCTTGAGCTTTGGATGGAAATCTGGAGGGGGGGAGGGGAGCCAATCTGTTTGAATGAGTTTGTTTTTTAAATACAAGACACATTGGGCATGGTAGTGCACATCTGTAGTGTCAGCACTTGAGAGGCTGAGGCAGGAAGATTGAGAGTTCCTAGGCTGTATAGAGAGACCCTGTCTCAAAAAGAGGAGAAAGAGAGAGAGAGAGAGAGAGAGAGAGGATTACCACGCTACCAGATATCAGAATGCTTGACAACTGGCAATGGGGAGATCCTGGGAGCATTGTCAGTGGGTGTGGACAATTAGTTGAGAGATTTCAAAATGAAATGTTCTTAGCTTCCAAACCAGTCTGTGTGTGTGTGTGTGTGTGTGTGTGTGTGTGACTGGGGTTTGAACTCAGGGCTTCACACTTGCAAAGCAGATGCTCGACCACTTGAGCCACATCTCCAGTCCATTTTGTTCTGATTATTTGAACTATTTGACTGGGCAGGCCTCAAACATCAATCCTCTCTATGTCAGCCTCCCAAGTAGCTAGGCTTACAGGTGTGAGCCATCAGCTCCCCACCCAGTCTATCTTCTATTTTTATAATATTCCAAAGAAATACAAGTTTAAGTGTGAGGAATGACAATATGTGCAAGAACACTTATTGCAGTGGCCTTGTCACACTACGGTTCTATCAAGAGGGGTGGGTGCCAGGAATCAAGCCTGTAATCCTAGCTACTCAGAGGCAAAAATCTGGAGGATTGAGGATCAAGGCCAGCCTGGGCAAAAAGTTCATGAGACCCCCATCTCAACTAATGGCTGGACAAGGTGGCACGCATCTGTCATCCCAGCACAAATTACACTGGGAAGCACAAATAGAAGGATCTTGGTTTAGGCAGGCCAGGACATAAAGTGAGACCCTATTTCAAAAATAACCGACACAAAAAGGGTTTGGGGGAGTGGCTCAAGTGGTAGAGCACTCCCTAGGCCAGCATGAGGCCCTGAGTTCAACCGCCAGTACTGCCAAAAATAAAAAATTTTAAAGAAGGAACAAGGGAGCTAGACAAAGACTGACCCAGATTGTGCAACATTTTGTTTCAACTAAATAAAGGTACTGTGATGCTAAGGCTGAATGCAGGATCTCCAGATCTATGTTCTTTGATGCTTCTTGACTGTGTGGCCTTTGACAGGTGTTTTAACCTCAATTTCCTTCTCTGGAAAGTGGGCATACTAATATTTAAAAATATAGTACATGGAGTATACTACAGTATAGGAGTATAGTACACAGAGTTTCATATATGTTTTACCCAGGTGCCTCTAATGTCCACATTTTGCAGAACTACATTAATCAAAATTATGAAATTAGCTGAGTGTGGTAGTGCAGGTCTGTAATCCCAGTTCTCAGAGGCTGAGGAAGGAGGATCGTGAGTTTGAGGACAGCCTGGGCTACACGGAGGGTTTGAGGCCAGCCTGGGATAGACAGTGAGATCCTGTGTCAAAAATCAAGCAAAAAAAAAAAAAAAAAAACCCTAAGAAATCAACTTTTCTATAATTCTATTACTAAGCTACAGACTTAATTGGGATTTTTTTTCTTTTCATCGTGTGTTCTTTTCCTGTCCTAGGATCCAGTCCAAGAGCCCTCCTTATATTTGTCATGCCTCTTTAAACTCCTGCAGTGTATCACAGCCCTTCAGCCTTTCATAACTTTGACTCTTGTAAGGAGTACTGGCCAGTTATTTCCTAGACTTTCTCTCAGTTTGGTTTGTCTAGATTAGACTGAGGTTTTGGCATTGCTGGGAAGGATACCAGAGAGGTGACGATGTGCCCTTTTCAGTTCGTCATACCAATGCATCATGATGTCACCATGACTCATGGATAGTGATGTTAATCTTTCTCCGTTCGTTAAGGTGGTGTCTGCCAGGATCCTCCACCGCGCAGCTATTTTTCACAGGATTCTTTTGAGAACTGCGTGTTAAAGAGTATGCATCAGGGCCTCACACATACTGCTGTGTGCTGCGTTAAGAAACACAAATAGCAGGACGCTGGTGGCTCACGCCTGTAATCCTAGCGACTCAAGAGGCAGCGATCGGGAGGATCGCTGTTCAAAGCCGGCCTGGGCAAATAGTTCGTGAGACCCTATCTCCAAAAAACCCATCACAGAAAAGGAATGGTGGAGTGGCTCAAGGTGTAGGCCCTGAGTTCAAACCCTAACACAGAAAAAAAAAAAGAAAAAGAAATACACAAAATAGGTAAACACCTGTGTTTAAATCAACTACTTCTGGAAGGATGAATAAGAAAATAAGAGCGATGACGAAGTCACGAGAAAGGCCCTGGGAACTCTGAA